AGGGATTTTTCTGTATGTGAACCTAAATGTCGTTCATCTTTGTACAAACTTCTTTATCATGCTGAAATAAGAATTAAACCTGAAATTTGCATAAGGCTACAGGATTTCCTATGTGGACACAATTTCCTTTTCAAAATAACTGAAATGACTGTAGTTCTTAGTAAAAATTAATTATTTTAAATAATAAAAGAATGGTAAGTGCTCATACTGTATTATAATACATTGCAACAGCTATAGCTCACTGTAAGAATTAATTCTAATCCAAGAAAATGATGATATTTTTGTTTTTATTAAGACATCGGCCATTTCCCACCAAGGCAGGGTGACCAGAAAAAGAAGAAAATCTTTCCTCATCATTCACTCCATCACTGTTTTACCAGAGGGGTGCCTACACTACAGCTAGAAAACTTCAACATATCAACACCACTCCTTCATAGTGCATGGTTTGTGATCCATTGAGATGGGGTTACCCTTTCCCTAAATCAAACCTCATTACGTACTTCAAATTTCCCAGGCATAGTAAAACCATTATAAATTTAGCACTTCTTTATGAATATAATAATAAATGCCCATGTTACGACTACTGTTTTTTAGTATCTAAAATGATTTCCATCGAATCAGTCATCCCATGGCATTACAGTGTTAAAATTCCCAAGCTATATAAAGCAGAAAACACAAATAAAATCACTTTATTCCAGTTGAAACATAACTGTGCAAGCATATCTAAGTGAAAGACTAATCTAACTACCCCAGCCAAGTTCAGGTTTATTAATAAAATAAGAAGTTTAAACAGGCTCACTAGTGACGGGACAAGCTCTTTAGTGATAGGACAAGGTTACTAGTGATAGGACAAGGTCACCAGTGATAGGACAAGGTTACTAGTGATAGGACAAGCTCACCGGTGATAGGACAAGGTCACCAGTTATAGGACCAGGTCACCAATGATAGAAAAAAGCCAAAGTTTGGGATAAGTCCAATATTGGTGAACTGAGCTCTTTATCAGGAAATAATTATGGACATTAATAAGTCCTCAAGTCAGTATAGCTCAGTATGTAATGGCAGATTCTTTTTTTTACAACTAAAAAAGCCCAGTAATAGTAGAAAAATTACAGATTAATATGTGGGTTAATATTGGCAAAATACATTCAGTAATAAATGAAATAACAAAGTGTCTGTTTGCCTCAAAAGAATATCCTTAAGAACTTAGAAGAACAATGCAAAGTTCTCCTCACCTTCAAGGCAGTGCCTTGATTCTGGTGAAAGGCTGTGGATTCAAGGAACCGGAGCTACCCTCTACTTCCTTGGATCAAACCTGATTACTTCCCATTACTAAGGCACTGTATGAATTTCATGGATTTAGCACTTCATCATTATAATAATAATCATAATTATAATAATAACAATAATAATTATTATTAATAAATTTTCCTCAGCGTGGTACAATATGAGCCTTGCTGAGCTGCGTTAGACAATTTGTTATCAGTGGCCTGAACCATTCCAGGTGGAGTGTATTTTTTTAAGTGTAGTATGATTGGCGTTCTTCACGTCTCCCATACTCCAATGCAACTTATTCCGGTTTTCCAATTTTTACTTATTATTAAAACTGAAATTTCACTTCCATGTTTAATATTGGTATCCAGTTCTTTGAAATCTTCAGGGCTTAGAGCCACATGGATCTTCGTTAGAGCACCCACCACCAGAAAAAATCAACAATAGAGTCTTCCAAAAATTTGTCAATCAGAAAGGCAGAGTATATCTGCAAGTTAAGATTATATCAAAAGTATGTAGCTCCAAATATAATTTAGGAATAATTATACTTCCTGAAGGTTCAGATACAGGACCTCGTGACTAACTGAACTGTCATACGCAGCCAGCCTCCCGCCCTCCTCCTATACTTACTTATCAACTTCTGGCAATTGAGGGGGCACCTCCTCCCTTGACAACCTGTCAAGCTCCTCTTCCACACAACTGCTGTGGTAGCTCATCATTTCCAGAGCTACCTGGAAAAGTTGACAAGGAAGGAGCTATTTAGCATTTAAGTGGATGTACATAATGTGGTACAGGAAGAAGGAACTGATAGAAGGGCTTGCAGTAACCTTTGAAACAACAAAGCAATGTTTTCATTCCATGATAAATACCGGTATTCATTATTTCTTTAAAGAAAAAATATATATATGAATATAT